TATGATCATGGCTCTGATCCATCTTGAAGTGCTGAGATTGATCATGTTGGATCGATTGAACTTTGACCTGAGATTAATCGAAGATGTTGATTTCCACATTTTTCTTTCTTTTGCTTCCACTTGGCTCCTTTCTTTGATTTATCCCATAATTGCTTCATTTCTGCTCTTATTTGGCTGAGTTAGCTTATTTTCGGGATAAGTGCCTGAAAATGGAAATAATACGAAATAATTCTAAAACGGTAAAGTAAGATAGATAAAGGTACTAGAATGCTTAAGTTTAAAGGGTTTAAATACGCACTTTTCAGCGCTCATCAATTAGTGTCAACAATTAATTTTTAAATATAAAATGACCTAAATTCCCTTTGACTCATTAATCTACCCTCTCCTTTATCCTCAATTATGAAATTAGCACAACCACCAGATCACCATCACCCCCAAGCACAACGGCAACACAAAGTTAATCCGTGGACTCCCCACCGCGTGGTGGTGGCACGAGATTGAACCTCCATGGATTGTTGTCGACGTCATCATCCGTTCGATTCTCGATCAACAGATCCAAATCTCCTAGCCGTTCACTGACCATCACGCCACGGATCAAATCGACCGTAAACAGAACAACAGTCATTGGCGATGAAGAACTCTTTGGCCACCATCTTCGACCATGCATGCCTGTATATATATACACACATGTATACAAGGGCGGATACAGAAATGCATAATGGGGTGGGCTAGTACTACTAAAACATTTTTTTTTTTGGTTGGACTAAAATTACCTCTAGTAAATTTTTTCTTTTTTTTTTTTTCGGACGGACGCAAGCCCACCACTAAATCCGCCTTGCATGTATATAACCCAAACCGACAAAGCCCATCATTGTTTTTTTGTTTTTTTTCCTTTTTTCCTCTCTCTCTCTCTCTCTCCTCGCCACCAACACCACTGCTAGACCCACGTTACGTTATTCTGCCACCATTACAGGCCACCACCCCGATCACCACTACACCGGCAGTCATCGAATTGGGTCGTAAAAAGGGAGTAGAGGGAAAATTTGGGTTACTAAATTTGGTGTCTGTTAGCACCTGTGATGGATCTCACTTGCCTCACCGTTGACTCCGGTAACGATCTAACCGCAATTTAGCGTGCCCTAGATCCAACAATCATTACATTGAGTTCATATACACACACACACACACACATATATATATATGTATATATATACAATAAACAATGTTCAGATCTGAAAATTTCCCAAGCCATATGGGAAAAGATCTGAAAGTGGCGAAACAATGAAACAATTGATCGGTGATGGTTGCTATAGAGCGAGAATGGGTTTGTCTTGGTTAGAAAGTTATATCATTGAATTTCAAAGAATCAAAATTTTGAACCAGGAGCATGTTTGGTTGTATGCGCATATTTTTTGACCCAAAGGCGTGTTTGGTGTGGCGGTATATGGGTGTGGTTTCGGTTGTGGTGTGTGTGGGGTGATGGTTGTGCTGGTGTGTGGGTGTGGCATTGGTGGTTGAGAAGGATTAGATGAGGGTTATTTTTGCCAATTTACAGGATTGAGGGTTAATTTTGTCAATTTACAAGATTAAGGGGAAATATAATAACAGTCTCGAGGGCTATTCCTATACGCCAAACCAATGTAGTGAATGTAGGTTCAAGAAAAGCCTTTTTGGGTCAAGTTTAATTTTTAAAAACAACAACTACTACTACTAACGTAGCAAGAGTGAGTAGGGATCGTCCCAAGGGATTAGAGGGCTACTAATAATGGAAATAATGCTTAGGGTTAGTAGGTCGAGTGATCAAAGGTAGATTGTTTGGTTGATTAAACTACAATTAAGATTAAGCAAGCTCAATATAAAACTAGTAATTAAAGGACAGAGAAAACAAGAGAGAGAGGTCTTGGGACTTAGACATCACCATTAAGCATTACCTTTCTATTCATAATTAATAAGGGGGAAAACATATGTTGCAACAATAGTGAGTGTGTGTGGTTGTTTTAACAAGCATGGATGACCAATTAAGTATGTATTGTCTAAACAACACAATGAATAGCACAATACATCAAAATAAGTCATTAATCCTTCTTTAAACTCATAATCCAAACACCTCACATAATTAGAGAAATATATTACTTGCATTCATAAGTAAGGAACATCAAACAACAAGCATGGATTGTCCTCCCATTTAACAACCAAGGTAACTACACTACATCTAAGCTAATGACATGGAAATTAAACTAACTAAACTAAAGGAGAGGCACAATCCATCAAGAAATGAGTATGAACCATCATATAAACCACAAGAGCATTCTATTAAGCACTATGTTTTGACAATCTCTAGATCTATAGCATCAACACACATAGACATGCATCAATAACACAAGAGATAGAGATAAACACATGAACATCTATTCTAGCATACATAGACATATGGATATAATGAAATGATTAATTGGAAGAATTAAACCACATAAATCATTGAATAAACAAGATCTATATATATAAATATGTCAAAACATTATTACAACACAAATCCCCTAAAAAAAACATAGATCAAGGTAAAGAAAGCATGCTTAGGGCTAACTCTAGCCCCAAGAGGATGTCTAGCCACTCATGAATGGTGTCCTCCAACCCTCAAGGGCTATCTCCATAGTAGAAGTGCTCTTCTTCTTGAGGAATATGGAAAACATCCTAGGAATGTGTCTCTAGCCTCATCTTCTCTTTTCTTCCTCTCTAAGAATTGTATCTCTTTACTCTAAAAGCATATCCAAGACTATCTAAGACTATATGTAAAAGTGGCTCATATTCCTTATATAGGTAGCTCAAATGTCACACCCAATGGTCTAGTTTCGTACACAAGGGCTCCTCCAATGATTGCATAATGAGACAACCTTTAATGAGTTGGAAATATATTTTTTTCGGATTTGAAAGGGTTCGATCGATCGAACTTGTGCTGTGATCGATCGAACATGGCTGAGATCTATTAAACTTTGGTTGGATCGATCCTCCCATGGCGGCGCATTTTTGGATAAAGATATATCTGAGATATTTTAGGGAAAGAGACAAAAGTGGTAGGTAGGGTGGTACAACAGGATAAAATGGAATCTTTTCGATCTATCTGAGAATTGTTGGATCGATCGAACTTTGTGGGATGTTTGGATAAGGACAACAGGGCTTGGATCCATCTTAGAGAGTCTAGATCGGTTAACTTTCGATCGATCGAAGTATTCTTGAGATCGATCGAACATGTTGATTTCCACACTTTGTTTCAATCTGCTTCCACTTTGCTCATTTCTTCCATCCAGCTTGAGTTAGCTTCTTTTAAGCTCTTATTTGGCTGAATTAGCTTATTTTGGGGATAAGCACCTAAAAAAGGCAATAACACGAAATTAGTCTAAAACGGGAAAGTAAGATAGATAAAGGCCTTAGAATACCTAAGCTTAAGGGGTTTAAATGCACACTTTTCAGCGTTCATCATATAACTTTTGAAACTTTAGAAATGTTAATGTAAACTCGTGCACTGAGTGACGTCGACTTAAAGCTCAAGAGGGTGAGTGTAATTTACCCCAGATTATTTAAAACAAATTCTTAGATACAAATACATTATGTGCATGTGAATATTCCTTCAAAAAGAGGCCATTTTTAGAAGATATATGTATAGAGGGGAGAGAGATATGTATATGCGGGATAGGAGGGAATTTTCCATCGTGATTTGCAGATTGGGGCATTATATCCAAGAGCTAAAACAAAATCGGTAACAATCCTCTGCAAAAGCTGCCTTTACGATTACAAATCTTATTTTTCTCAATAATTTTGTGTCTATTTGTTTAAAGGTTTTAGAGAAGAGAGAAATAGGTGGAGACCTTTAATCTCTTGCATGATAGTCGACGATGGTTTTGAATTTAGGTCCCTTTTTTTTTTTTTTTTTTTTTTTTTTTTTTCAACAATGCACTAATCATTGAGTATTATCACATATTCCTTATATATGTTAGATCTGTGTATTCTAAATTCCTAATTCTTACTTGGCTAAGATATATAATTTTTAGGGTAAATCAAACTCACACCCTTTAAGTTTGGGTTAAAGACACCCATCTATAACTTTGAGAGAGTGTGATCCAATTGCCCCCCAGGTTTGCAATTTTGAACTCTAACACCCCGAACCGGCAAAAGCCACCTTTGAAATAAGGTAAAAATATCTTATTACCCATTGATTCCTGAGTTGACCAATGTGAATAAAGTATATCTTATTATAGACCAAAATAGCCCCAGTTAGTTAATTCGATTTGTCATCCAAAATAGCAATTAGTTGAAGCCAAAATGGCTACTCTGCACCAAAAAAAAATAGCCCTTGGACTATATGTTATATATAGCTGTCCACCACAAGTTACAGCCTCTCCAACATAAACCTATGCAATGCAATACAAAATGCAATATCTAAAACAAAACAAAAAAATGGCATAACCAACACCATCAAATTCTAACACAAACCTATTACAGTACAAAATGCAAAAAAAGCAATCTCTTACGAAAGGAAAAAATAAAAAATAAAATACCCAACAAGAACAACACCATTAGGTATAATTACATAGCCATCAAATTCTAACAAACATGTTGCAGTGTAATACAAAATGCTTGACTTATAGGTCCTAGTACCAGGGTAGACCATTTGCTGATGATCTACTATATTGAGTTGTTTGTGGAGTTGTTGCTGTTACTGCTGCTCTGCTGGATTGAGTGCCTTGTGCATAATTTGAGACCCGCAAATATGCATGCACAATTAAAACTTTTCTAAGTGAATAAGTGGAAAATAGTAATAAGTTTGGTTTTGTTAGTTACATTGGACTAGCAAAATTACATTATTTTCTTAACTATGCTGTGATGTGCTTAAGTATTTTGTAAAAACAAAAATTAAAATAAAAGTAATGTTTACATTGGATTGATAGGCTTATGACGGTCCTATTATTCCAGCAGCTCTACGTAACTGTGCTACTGCTGTTGTTCTACTCCTTGTCCTTGCTCCTAGACCTTTCTTTCTTTTTTTGTTGTGCTTTTGTTGGTGCTGTAATTGATGGTGTTGCTGTAGAAGTTGATGGTGTTGTTGATGTTCTTGACCCTTTCTTCTTTTTGTTCTGAATTGGAGCCCTTTGATACCCTCTTTTGTTATGTCCACTTTCTTTGCATATGCTGTACCTCAGAATAGTTGACCTCTTAGTAGCTTGTGGTTCATCATATTCCCTCTTTCTTGCAACTCTAGGTCTGACTATAGGCATTTTTAAATCTGAAGGGAGTAAATCTACCTTATTTACTTCATCCCATTTACTCTCATAGTGTATGGGATGTATCAGATTTTTATAAGCTTTTAAATAACTATGGCTACTGAAGAAATCATCACAACACTCCTCAATATGCTCTCTTTTCCATGTAATACATGTTGCTGCATGCTTACATGTCACACTAATGAGCTGCCATTCCCCACAATCGCAAAACCAACTATGAAGATTCACAATATACTTTATCTCTAACTCCTCGGTTACCTCGTAGAACTCACCACCAGGCCAGATCAATTCACATGTCCCAGCCTTTTCAATAACAATGTTTAATTTGTTTATGATTTTTGGACTATCAAAATAACCGAACTAGCACATTTCTGAAACCTTTTATGATATTTGGTCATAAGTTTGGTCCATATACCCTCCAACATTGTGATACCCCTGGATTTCCGGACGCGGGTTGGCCAGGCCCACGCCCGAATACCCGAGGATGTTAAAAAAAATGGCAATAAATGAACACAGAGTACAAAATAGATAATAGGAATAAATGAACAACTGAAAGAAAGTAAAATGATAATCCATTAATAAAACCTCAGAACAAAATTTTCATTAATAAATTCTTCTGATATAAATAATCCTCCAACTTACACAACTTGGGAATCCATACTATGTGGACCCCTGGAAAACCGAACTAACCAAAAGATAGTAAAAACTGTCTACATCAGAAAACTGAAACATACAGAAACTCCTAAATAACATAGTCCGGAAGAATGAAGTAGACGATCCCTGCTCAGCACGAACAATCCCTACTCTTGACGAATACCTGAAAAATAATGGTGGGTCAGGCCCACAAACAAGTTCTACTCTACTACGGTCCAAGCAGAGACCCGATACGCAGATACATCCTAGATAACTTAACAATAGATAAAAAGTCCATATATGTATAAATATACACACTGTAGGACGCTCGCTAGCGCAATAGTTCTGTCTCAGCCTAAATAGAAGGTAGCATGCAAATCGCACATCACATGGGCATGTATAGCTAGACCAACTAGGGAACATCAACTATGTCCAGTTATCCATCATAGGCGATATACGCACCCTAACCATGATCGTGAGACTCAAACTCATATCACGGTACCATAATCATATATATATAATATCCTTCCTAATACAGAACATGAAAACAAACAGCCATTATGTCATTCAACTGTTTTAGTTGACCTGACATGAATATATATAAGTATGACTTAACTTTTATAGTTAATCCATTTCTTATTTTAGAATAGGTAGGACTTAGTGTTTTGAACTAATCCATCCCTAATATGCCACTGTCCTATTCCGGTGCATATAATTCCCAAATCAAATAATTGATGCAATAAATGATAAATTTAATCATCAATTAAAATCCAGAGCCTGATGTAATAATAATCAGAAATATAAATTGGGTACATTATACTGAAATACTCAAAAGTAATTTCATAACAATCCACAAATCCATTAATTGACGAAGTATATAACAGATAAAACATCAATTAATCCCATACAAGCATACTACATTTTCAGATAGTCAATTATGCTTATTACAGTGCTTAAACATGATTAATATTGTTTAACCATACATAGAAAAATTGCTAGAATACTAGTAAGCAATTAAATCATTTATTCCATACTCAACATGCAAGTTTATTGTTGAAATTCATGTTGTTCCATTCTTTAGCATATTGTTATAAATCATGCTTCCGAGTATTTTGACATATCCATTACAGTTATTTAAATCATTCACAGCATCTTAAACAACTTAGAAATACTCCAAACGGCTAAACAGAACTAAAAAAAAAAAAAATTAATTTCTGCAAGTTCCGGCGCTAGAGCAAGCTCCCACACTTCGAGAGCAAGCTCTGCCCTCTTGGGAGCCGGCTCCACCTAAGTGGAAGCTAGCTCTGTAGTGCTGGGAGCCTGCCCCCTCCATGTCGGAGCTGGCTCTGTCCATGAGGGAGCCGGCTCCCTTCATTAGAGAGCCGGCTCTCTCTCCCTGAGAGTCGTATCCTTAAACCCGTTCATCTTCTTCGCCTCCAGCAATGTTTAGAACCCTCTGTATTGTTTTATTACGATTCCTATGATTCAATCTATGTCCCAAAGGTTCCAGAAAATCATAGAAATCCAGTACGCATTGCTAACAAGAATTTAAAACTTAATCTGAACCAATTTATGCAATAAAACAATTTTAATTAATCAATACAAGAAATAGTTTACAGTCAGAATTAACGTGCATAAAACATCCGTTTTAAAGTCTGATTAAGTCCTGGAGACTATATAGGCATGCACAGAACATAGGTCTAAGGGAAGGAGTTAGAATAGAACTCTCTAGGTTTCGAATTGAAACCCTTACTTCTTCTTCCTAGTTTTTTTACGGTGATCCTTGGCCACCGTCCAAGCCTCCTACTGCTCTGGTTCTAACCCTCAAACAGCCCCCGACCTTCCTCCTTGGTCTGGCCTAATTCTTTGGCCTAAACCCTCACTTTTGTCTCTAGGTATCTCTTCCATCCTCTCTATTCTCTCTCTTAATTCTCTGCTACCACTCTCATCTATAAGGTGGCATGAATAACATTTTATAAACCCTAAGACAGACAACACTATATAAATATATAGGTTTATACCAACCCTAATCTGAAACTGATACTAAGTCGGCTAAAAAGAAAAGAAAAGAAAAGTAAAATATAATTACACAGACATATAAAGTCCTATACGTGAACACCAAATATATATATATATATATATATATATATATATATATATATATATAATCTCTTAACATAATATTACTAGTATTAACATTAAATTAAACAATTAATAATAATAATTCTCAAATAATCAAACAATCAAACAATTAACAATTAACAATTAAACAATTAATATTAAACAATTAAACAATTAATATTAAACAATTAACAATTAAACAATTAATATTAAACAAATAACAATTAGCAAAATAATAAAACAATTAATTCAATTAAACACATACCATCAAGCCACATAATCACATAACCACATAAGCACCTAATATACAATAAAATAAATAATATAAATCCCTTTTATATCCTTTTGAAAACTAGGAGTATTACATTCTTTCCCCCTAACAAAAGGAATTCCATTCTCGGAATTCACGAAACTCTGAATTATTTTCTTTTAAAATTCATTTCCGTTCTCGTGTGGGTACAACCTCTTTGTATGGGCTCCACCAAATTCCAACGCATCCAACAATATACAAGGCTCCTATATTAAGAAACACCATAAATGTATAACTCCTAGGTTGTATCTAACAACGACCCAATCTTACCCAAAATTTAGTGAAGGGTAACGATCCCTATTCCTCCAAGTTTCGTAGGATATACGCACAAAATTCTTATGCATCCAGTGCGAACAAGTTGGTAACGCTAATCGATAGGGTACTGCCGTAATTTATAAACACAATCCGTGAAAAAGTCAATTTAATATGGAAAACTAACCTTCCTCAAAAAAACACATTGCAAACAATCGTTTCCTGATAGGAAAACTCTAGTGTACAAGTTCAATTATTTACAACATCCTACTGCCACCTCCACCGCGCAATCCATTACAAAGGAGAGTATATCTTGCCAATGTATCCTTTAATGAAGTCAAGGTCAAATTGTATAACCCTTGCCTTCATTTTAAACCAACAGGTGAAAGGTCTGCACTAAATAATATACAAAACCACAAACGTTGTCACACTAACCTCCTTGTACCAACAATATGTAATACCGTTAATTTTAAAAGGATAGTCTCGGTATTTTAAGTAATCATTTTATTGCATTTTTATTTGTTGATTTGATTATTTGCCAAATTGGTTAATTGTTTAATTGCATTATTTGTTTTAATGGTTAATTATTTAATTGCATTATTTGTTTTAATTTAATTATATGCTTATTTTCATTTAAGTTTATGCTTTTATGGAATTGCATTATATGTTTGACTTGATTTATTTGTTAATTGAACCTATATGCTTATGCTTATGTGGACTTTTTGTATTTTACGGAGTTGGGCTTTGATAGAAGGTTAATGGGTACAGTTAATACCCATGGATGGTTATACTTATATGGATGGATATATATGTATATAAGGTTTTTTTAATTACTCGTTTCTATTAATAATTAAGTTAGAATTATTATTCATTATTATGTCGTACAGTTTTAGGGTTTTATATGTATGTAGGAGGTCACTTTGTCCCGATTGATAGATATATGTTTATTTTAATTTTATTTTTCCTTTTCCTTTTCTAGTATAATTTGAATTAGGTTTTAGTATTGCCTATTTATATGTCATTATAAGTCTGCCTAGGGTTAAGAAAACCCTATTCAGTTTCATGAACAGAAAGAGTTTTGAGAGGAAAACAGAGAGAGGAAAATTAGGGTTTGGCTAGGGACATGGGCTGAACCAAGGAGAGGTGATTGAAGCTTGCTCATGGGTTGAACCAAAAGCAACATAGGTCGGTGAAAGCAACTAAGGTCATCGGATGTAATACCCCTAGTTTTCAAAAGGATATAATAAGAATTTAATTTTTATTTCTTGTGCATTGTAATGGATTAAGTGGCTATGTTGTTATGTGACTTGATAGTATGTGTTTAATTATTTAGTTGAATTATTTGTTTTAAGTTAGTTATGCTTATGTGGAATTGTATTATATGTTTAAAATGTTTTATTTGTTATTTGAACTTATATGCTTATGTGGATTGTTTTTTAATTTAATTGTTTGCATTAGACGTTTATTTTATATTAGGGAGCTGGGCTTGGTTAGTGTGGATTAATTGGTTAGGATCAATGAACCATGGATGGATATGCATGTATATATGGGTATATATGTATCTTGGATTAGGCTAATTATTAATAATTGTTAATAATTCAATTAGCCTCATTTTTTTTTTTATGTAATATAAAGTTTTAGGATTTTATTTATATTCATTAAAATTTGTCGACTTAGTTAGTTTTATTTTATTTTATTTTTCTTTCTCTAAGTATAATTGAAATTAGGTTAATTAGCGTTGCCTATATATATAAATTTATGCATCTGCCAAGGGTTTAGAACCCTATTCATGTAGTAGTGGAGGCAGAGAGAAAGAATAGAGAGGTCTGAGAGAAAACAGAGAGAGGGAAACTTAGGGTTTGGCTTACGCTAAGGCTAAGCCAAAGAGAAAATGAAGTGGTGTTGCTCGTGGGTTGAACCAAGGGGCAACAGAGGAGTTAGAGCAGTGAAGGATTGCCGGAAAAGTTAGAGAAGATGGTTTAAGGTTTCAAAACTGAAACCAAAGGCAAGTTCTATTTCTTGCTCTCTCTCTCTTTGACCTGTGTTCTGTGCATGCCTAGGTAGTCTCCAGGAACTTAACGGATATTAAAATTGGTTCTATATGCATGTTAATTCAATTTTTAAATTGTATTATATGTGTTGATTAATTGAAATTTAATTATTGATCAAATCGTTGCATATTATGTTTTACATCTTGTAATGATGCATACTGAGTTTATATGTTTTTCTGGATGATTTGGAAAATAGTTGGACATCTAGGGACTGTAACTAAGACTTACAGAGGGATTTTAACATCATCGGAGATGAAGACGATGATGGGAAGCAGGGACAGAGTTGGCTCTGAAAGGGAAAGAGCAGGCTTCTTAAGTTTTTTTTAGGCCACGGCTCTCTGTAAGAGAGAGAGCTAGCTCCATGGAATTAGGGAGCTGGCTCCCTAAGCACAGAGCCAGCTCCCAAGGTTAGGGAGCTGGCTCCCTTGTGTGGGAGCTTGCTCTCTCATTGTTTAGCGCAAGCTCTCTTGCCAAATAACTTACTGGAACATAAATTTTGGCACGGTTTTGAAAATTTTGAGATTTCAGGACTGTTCTGGGTTAGTAAATGGGATTCTAAATAATTTTCATGACATGTTAGGATTTCATGATGCATAATCTTTATCTATATGTTATTGGTATGCACAGTATGAAAGTTTAAATAAGTTTTCATGTTGATAGTGGACATGGAGGATTAAATTGCTTAATGTTATTTTAGTGATTTAATCAACTAGGATATGATTTTAAATCTGTATTGGATGCATAATAGGGTCATATACTTATTACATTTTATTATGCTTACCCTGGATTTTAATTGATGAACCATTAAATTATGTTCTATCAATTACATGGATGTTACCCTGGATTTTAATTGATGAACCATTTAAATTCTGTTTTATCAATTACATGAGTGTTATTTTGGATTTTAATTGATGAACCTTTAAATTCTATTTTGTCAATTACATGGAGGGTATTCTGGATTTTAATTGATGAACTGCTTTATCTGTTTATCAATTATTGGACGTGTGGATTATATGTACCGGTATGGGACGGTGGCATATTAAATATGGATTACATTACAACGCTAACTCCTACCTATTCTGGAATAAGGGAATGGATTATAAAATTAAATCCTACTTATATTTAAGTCAGATCAGCAGAACAAGTTGAATGACTAACTGGATTATTTGCTTTTTATATTTAAGTCAGATTAACTGAACAAGTTAAATGACTAATTGGATTTCTTGCTACTTATATTTTAGTCAGATTAACTGAACAAGTTGAATGACTAACTGGATTTCTTATGGATGGATATGATAGGATTTTATATATATATGATTATGGTACCACGATATAAGCTTGAGTCTTAAGATCGATGGTTAGGGAGCATATATGCATTAGGATGCATAACTGGCTATGATGGTAGAGGTGTACCTTGCTAGGTTTAGGTACTTATGCCCACCTCAGGTGCGTTTTGCATGTTGCCTTCTATTCAGGTTGAGACCCCCTTTGTAGTATAGTGAGAGTTCTTTAGTGTGGATATATATGTATGGACTAGATAGATATTGTTGAGTTATCTAGGATGTATCTGTGTATCGGGTCTTTGTTTGGATTGTAGTTAGAATATAACTTGTTTGTGGGCCTGACCCACTATCATTTTTCAGGTATTCGTCAGGAGTAGGGATTGTTCGTGTTGAGCAGGGATCATCTTCTTCACTCTTCCGGATTGTGTTACTCAGAAGTTTATTTATGTTTTAGTTTTCTGATGTAGAAAGTTATAGCTGTCATTTATTTAGTTTTGGTTTTCCAGGGGTCCATAGAGTATGGATTCCCGAGTTGTATAAATTAAAGGATTACTTGTATCAGAGGAATTTGTTAATGGAAAATTTATTCTGAGGTTTTATTAAAGGATTGTCATTTTAGTTTATTTCAGTCATTTATTTATTCCTGTTATCTATTTTGTACTCTATGTTCGATTATTGCCAATTCGTTTTGATATCCTCCAGTATTCGAGCGTTGGCCTGGCCAACCCGCATCCGGAAATCTAGGGGTATCACACCGGAATTACTAGAGAAGATGGTTTAAGGTTTCAAAACTGAAACCGAAGGCAAGTTCTATTTCTTGCTCTTTTCCTTTGACCTGTGTTCTATGCATGCCTAGATAGTCTCCAGGAACTAAACGGACATTAAAATTGATTTAGTATGCATGAAATTCAGAGTTTAAACCATTGTTACATGTTGATAATTGTGATTGAACTATTGTATCAATTCTTTCGTATTATATACTTTGTTGTTGTTTATGATGCATGCTATGTTTTAAATGTTTCTAGGATAATTTTGGGACATAGACGGACCTCTGGGAACCTAAACAAAATATTACAGAGGATTTTTACATCGCCGGAGGCAAAGAGGAGGAACGGGATCAATAGACGGCTTTTACGGAGAGAGAGCAGTCTCTCTAATGGAGGGAGCCGACTCCCTCATGGACAGAGCCGGCTCCCACTTTAAGGGAGACGGATCCCAATACTTCAGAGCCAACTCCCACTTGTGGGGAGCCGGCGCCTAACAAGGTAGAGCCTGCTCCATTGATTTGGGAGCTTGCTCTCAAACTGGGACTTCTATGGGAGGGCTATTTTTTATGGTTTTTGGAACTTCGGGGCTTCAGGGTGATTCTGGATTATTGTGGGGTGTTTTAAATAAGTTAAAAAAATAGGTTAAATCCCAGGATATGTTAGACTATGCTATTAGGCTAATGTCTTGAACAATATGAAAGTTTAACAAGTTTGCATGCTGTTAACGGATAGAAAGGATTTAATTGCTTAATCTTAGTTTAACAATTTAAAGTACTGTGACTTGATTTTTAAATCTTGTAATGGATGCATAATATTATCATATACATATCAGATTTTTATTATGCTTGCTCTGGACTGTGAATGATGAAATGTTTATTTCTGTTTCTATCAATTGGATGAATTTTTATGGATATGTGCACCGGTATGGGATAGTGGCATATTAGGTACAGATTAAATCAAAACGCTAATTCTTACCTATTCTGGAATTTAATCGATGAACTGCTTATTCTGTTTTGTCAATTATTGGATTTGTTTTGTAGATTATATGCACTGGTATGACATATTAGGTACGGATTAGATCAAAACGCTAACTCTTACCTATTCTAGAATAAGGTTAAATCCTATTTATATTTTCTGTCAAGGCAACGAACAGTTGAGCGGCACTACTTTGGTTTTAGATGGATTTTAAATATATATTTATGGTACCGCGATATGAGCTTGAGTCTCAGAGTCGACGGTAAGGGAGAATATATGCAGTGGGATGCATAGCTGACTATAATGGTGAGGTATACCCTGTTAGGCTTAGGTACTCATGCCCACTTCAGGTGCGTTTTGCATATTGCCTTCTATTCAGGTTGAGGCCCCCTTTGTAGTCCAGTGAGAGTCCCTTAGTGTGGATATATATATTTATGAACTAGATAGATATTGTTAAGTTATATAGGATGTATCTGTGTATCGGGTTTCTGTTTGGATTGTAATTAGAGTAGAACTTATTCATGGGCCTAACCCACTATTATTTTTCAGGTATCGGACGGTTCCAGTCTTAGAGCTTGTTCGTGCTGAGCAGAACGGTCACTCACTCTTCCGACAATGTTTGACTGTTATTTATAATTAGTTTTGGATTTTCTTTTTAGTTCAGTTTATCTTCAGTTAGGATGTTTACTAGGGGTCCACTAGATGAATTCCTGAGTTGTATTAAATATTGGATTTTAAATTTTAAGGAGTTTTATTAGAATTCTTTTCAGCTTATTTAATTATCTAGTTTTAAATCCTTTTTGTATTCTGTGTTCATTTACATACTTAATTATTTGGTATCTCTCGGATCTTTGCTTAGACTTGATCACCCGTGGCTCTAGAATCGAGGGGTATCACAATTAGTATCAGAACACTCCAGGTTCAGTGTCTGTAGGGTATTTCGTTTTAAGACTTCCGCGTAGCGTATTATCTTGTTTAGAGCTTAAGTTTAGGATTCGTTGTATTCCTATACAGTTCGTTTAAATCATGCTGATGTTTGTCTTTCTGTGTTAACAGAATGGTTAACACTAGAACCAGACGGAATAACAGGCGACGAATCGGAGCGACACGTAGGCAACAGGATTTCTTACGGCATCCGTAAATTGAGGAAGAGCAGCAACTACCGAGGTTTCAGGAGGAGGAACAGGAGAAAGGTGGTCAGTTGCGTATCGAGCAGGAGGATGTACAGCAGACTTAGGAGTCTCAGGATCGGGGCTACAATCAGGGAAGGAATCCAGAGTATTCTCCTCAGTTAGTTTACATCATTGCTCAAGCTGTAGCAACTGCACTTCAGAGTCAGCCACACGTTTAGTAGACACTAGAAATAGTACCAGGGGTGCAGAATGTGTTTAAAGGTCATTGTTTTGCCTGCGGAGATTATGGGTATACATCCAAACAATGTCCTAGGTTATCTCAGAGACAGCAGAATGGGGGACCATAGGCAGGACGGGATCAGCCACAGGTTAACTAGCAAAGGAGGTCGTTTGGTACTTTTAGGGGTACTTGCTATACTTGTGGAGAGTTTGGTCACACTTCCAGGCAGTGTCCTAAACAAGGAGATACTGGGCCGTCCAAGCAAGAGGGTACTGAATCACAAGGAGGATGGCTCTTTTAAGAGTGATTTTTATTACTAGTAGTAATGGAGATATTGTTAGAAGTATAGTACTGGTTAAATCATGTACACTATTATTTTAAAGAATATATGACGATTATTCTTTTGGAAGTATATGGTTTAAAGAAGTTCTTAATTAAGTGAACTGGTGGTTTTGGCATCTCGATTGTGTTTCATAAGAGTATTTTGAGTTTTTTCTTCCATAAATGGTTTTATTAAACTATATTGGAATATGTATGATGCAATGATAAAGGAATATCACAGTGGTCAGGCAAACAAATTTTTGCTTATAACTATGCTATGCGGGTACGAGATGATTACCAATGAGTTTATAAAAGAACTTGTGTAAATCAATTCGGTAAGTTTGATTTCAAAGGAAGAATGCCCAAAATAAAACAATATTCTAAATGTGAGTAGATTTTAGAGTATTTTATATACCTTATGTGTTTTGCTCTACGGAGTATTCAGAAATTTTGGGTTTTTATAGTTTAGTTGGTGACACAAGTGTGTGATCGACCATAGGGTATTTCTATACTGATCGGCGATACTGCCATTTTACATGAGAATGATGGGCTTATGACACCAGATATTGGTAGACTCAGATTTCTAACCAATATATCGGTCCTGGATATGCACACTTATGTTGTGATACTTGGGATGGATTGGTTGTCTCACTACCATGCCCAAGTTAATTGTTATAATAGGTCTATTGTTTTCACAACACCTAGTCAGGATATGTACGTCATCGCTATGCCACGTTCTAACGGGGTCACTAGCACTTATTTGTTCTATATGGAGGAAGAAACGGAGGCGGAGATTACTGTGTCATTGGATAGTATACCAATTGTACAGGAATTTTCGGATGTTTTTCAAGAGATTCCAAGATTGCAACCTAGTCAAGAAATAGATTTTGTGATTGACTTAGCTCCAGGCACTACGCCTATTGCTAGAGTACCGTATAGGATGGCACCAGTGGAGATGCGAGAGCTGAGGGATCAGATTCAGCAATTACTCAGCCAGGGTTTTATTCGCGGGAGTACTTCACCTTGGGGAGCACTAGTTTTGTTTGTGAAGAAGAAGAATGGTTCACTTTGCCTGTGTATAGATTACAGGGAGTTGAACAAGGTTACTATACGTAATAAGTACCCTTTGCCTAGGATTGATGATCTTTTTGATCAGTTAAAAGGAGATACATACTTCTCTAAAATTGATCTTTGTTCTGGATATCATCAACTTTGGGTTAGGGAGCAAGATGTTTCTAGGACAGCGTTTCTCACCAGATATGGTTCATATCAGTTTCGTGTCATGCCTTTCGGATTGACTAACGCACCAACAGTCTTCATGGATTTAATTAACAGAGTTTTCAAGGCTTACTTAGATCAATTTGTCCTCGTCTTCATTGATGATATTTTGATTTATTCTAAGTCAGAGGACGATTATGTCAAACATCTTCATATAGTGTTGTAGACGCTTCGTGAACACAAGTTGTATGCCAAATTTGAGAAATGTGAATTTTGGGCAGCGAGAAGTGAAGTTTCTAGGTCATATAGTGTCAGAAAGGGGAATAACGGTAGATCCAGCCAAGGTTTTAGCAGTGGCAGAGTGGGGACAACCTACTTTACCTACCAGGATTTAGAAATTCCTCGGATTGGCAGAATATTTTCAAGGTTCATTCAGGGGTTCTCGAAGATAGTGGGACCACTCACTCACTTAACTAAGAAGAGTGTATGGTTCGTGTGGTATGAACATTGTCAGAAAGCTTTTGATGAGCTCAAAAGTAAGTTGACTTCTGCACCGGTTCTGTCTACTTCACAGAGCGGAATAGAGTATCTTGTTTACACAGATGCTTTTTTGCAAAGTCTTGGGTGTGTATTGATGCAGGAGGAGTGATTGATTTCGTATGGATCTCGTAAGCTTAAGCCTCATAAGCTTAATTATCCAACATATGATTCGGAGTTGGCAATTGTGGTCTTTGTCTTACGTATTTGGAGGCATTATCTGTTGGGAGAGTCCTTCAGATTATCAGTGATCATAAGAGTCTGCAGTATTTGTGGCTTGCATGGTAGTTACACCTTTTATCATTCATAAGGTTTAAACTGCATAACTCACGGATCAGCAGCGCATTGACAAAGTTGCAGAGATAGCTTCTGGGGAGGTTCCATTTTAATATATTGGGACTGATGGAGGTTTAAGGTACAAAAGGCATTTCGTAGTCCCTTCTGCTGATGATTTGAGGAAGCATGTGATGATTGAGACTCATTATTCTGATTTTTCAGTTCATCAAAATGTATCAAGATATGAAACGACAGTTTTGGTAGGTAGGTATAAAGAAGGGCATTACGATATTTGTCTCTAAGTGTAATATATGTTAGATGGTTAAGATCGATCATCAGAGGCCGCTAGGAGCTCTACAACCACTACCTATACTGGAGTGGAAATGGGAGAGCATTTCTGTGGATTTTGTGAAGGGATTGCCTAATTCATTTAAAGATCAAAATTCCATTTAGGTCATCATTGATAAGTTGACTAAATCATCTCATTTCTTGCCTATTCGCACTGATTTCACTTCGAAACAGTTGGCGAGACTTTACATTACAGAGATTGTAAAGTTACATGGCATTCCGTTATATATTATTTCGGACAAGGATTTGAGCTTTGTGTCAGGATTTTGGAAGAGTTTGCAGCAGGCTTTGGGTATAGAATTACATCTTAGTACTGCTTATCATCCTCAGACTGATGGATGACCAAGAGAGTTAATCAGATCATGGAGGATATGCTTTGTTGTTATGTTCCAGACTTCAAGGGCCATTGGAAGAACTATTTACCACTTGTGGAATTTGTATATAACAATAGTTTCCAGAAGACTATTAGGATGGCACTGTTTGAGGCATTGTACGGCCGACCATGTCGATCTCCTATTTGTTGGATGGAGGTTGGAGAGAGAATATTTTTGGGTCTTGAGTTTATTAAGGATACTTCTGAGAAGATCGCTCTTACTCGGGATCGCATGCGTACTGCCCAGAGTAGTCAGATGAGTAATGCCGATCGTCGTACTCGGGCATTGGAGTTTCAAGTTGGAGATTAGGTTCTACTCAAAGTGTCTCCTATGCAAGGAGTTGGAGAGATTGAGTTGCAGCCGAATGTAACATATTTGGAGCCAGCACGTCGTATTATGGATCGTCGGGATCAGATTCTTCTCAATAAGGTTATACCTTTAGTGCGTGTCCAGTGGAGTCACCATAATGAGGCTGAGTCTACTTGGGAACAGGAGGATGTCATTGCTCGCAGTTTCCTGCAATATTGGAAAAAGGTAAGAGCGAATTCCGACGACAGAATTCCTTTTGTTAGGGAGAAAGAATGTAATACCCCTAATTTTAAAAGGATAGTCTTGAAATTTTAAGTAATCATTTTATTGCATTTTTATTTGTTGATTTGATTATTTGCCTAATTGGTTAATTGTTTAATTGCATTAATTGTTTTAATTTAATTATATGCTTGTTTTCATTTAATTTTATGCTTTTGTGAAATTGCATTATATGTTTAACCTAATTTATTTGTTAATTGAACCTATATGCTTATGTGGACTTTTTAATTAAATTAAATAAACGAACACAGAATACAATAAACGAACACAGAATACAATTTAGATAAATAGAAATAAATAAAACTGCTGAAAGAAACTAGAATGATAAACCAAAACTGAAACCTCAGAATAAATTTTATAAATAAAGAAATATTCTAATACATCCAACTTCTCCATGAATACAAATCGTTCTCCAAATTATACAACTCGGGAATCCATCTAGTGGACCCCTAAAATAACCCACCGAACTCAAATGACTGGAAATACAACCAAAGCCCAAAACATGAAACAAAGTCTTACAGCATCGGTGGAGTGAATGATTGTATTTGCTCAGCATGATCCAGCTCTAAGACTGGAACTAACGAACACCTGTAAAAATAAGAGTGGGTCAGGCCCACATGCAAATTCTTCTCTAACTATAACCCAAACAGTGACCCGATACGCAGATACACCCTAGATATCTCAACAATAGCTATCTAATCCATACATATATATATATCCACACTAAGGGACATTCACTGGACTACAGTAAGGGTCTCAACCTGAATAGAAGGTAACATGCGAAAACGCACCCAAAGGTAGGCATGAGTATCTAGACCTAACAGGGTACACCTCAACTTACTATAGCCACCTACACATCCACTGCATATACGCACCCTAACCAACGAGTCTGAGACTCAAGCTCATCACGTGGTACCATAACCATATATTTAAAGTCCATTTATATCCATCCATAAGAACTCCAATAAATCATTCAGCTTATTTAACTGCACAGACTTATATAAGAGATCCAGTAAGTCGTTCAGCTAATTCAGCTGCACAGACTTAAATATAAGAAGAATTATGTTTTTTTTTTTTTTTTTTATAATTCGCCTTATTCCAAAATAGGTAGGACTGAGTATTTTGAATCAGTCTGTCCCTAGTATGCCACTGTCCCATACCGGTGCATACAATCCACAAAATCCATATAATTGATCAAACAGGTAAAACTGTTCACCAATTAAAATCCATAAGGTAGGA